GTGGGAACACAGGGAAAGGATCATCTCATGGCATGGCAGGCAGGTGGCAGAGAAAGGGCAGAGACAGGAAGGAGCCAGGGCAAGCTATATTCTCAGAGACATGCCCTTAGTCACCTACTTTCTCCAAAGGCCTTACTTCCTACTCCTTATTGTCTCCCAGTAATGCCATCAGATTGGGAATCTATGAAAGGATCAAGGAATTCAAGAGGTCAGAGCCCTCAGGATCTGCTTGTCTCTGGACCACCCCTCATAGGCATATGCAGAGGTGTACACTACTAATCTTACTGGCATTTCTTAATCCAAGTTGACCATCAAAATTAGCCACCATAGGACCCGAGGAGTGGTCGCCATGGCCCCTTCAGAGTCACTCTGCAACAGGAAAAGAGCAGGCGGAAACAAGGGTCCTGCTGTTGATCAAGAATATGTAGAGATGGTAGTGGCCTGAGTGGGATTGACTTTTCAGGCTTTTGTTCTACATACGGTTGTTTCAGGGCACATGGGAAAGAAACTGTCTATGGAGTCGGGTGGAGAGAAGGAGGTGGCAGCTTTGCTCCTCGACTTTCTCCCTGTCCCCAGCCCCAGGGTGCTGCCCCGGTATTTAGGTGAAGAACATGAACGAACGCTGGAGCTGGGCTCACCTCCCTTTGAGGTCTGCCTTTTGTGCTTGGTTAGCTGTGCGAACTTGGGAAGTTTACTTCACTTCTCTGAGTACTAGTTTACTCTGAACCAAATAAAACTAATGATCATCCCAGGCCTGGTGATGGCTGTGGTTATTAACTAGTCTCCAGGAGGCACTCAGTTCACAGGGAGCGGTGGTTGATATTGACCCTGGTGCCATGGCATCTGTGTGGACTAGAAAGGGGAAGCTTTTATAGCATGCTTGTATCACTTTCATGACAGGTGCCTCATCAAGGCTCCCTCCTCTGGGGAGCAAGAGAAGCAAAAAGGAGGAAACACAGTCTGTGCATGGCAAGAGTCTGAGCTAAGCCCCAGGTGAGGATACAGCTCTGGGGCTCCAGGGACATTCTGGCTAACATGGTCCTCCTGATCCAGATGCTGTGTTGCCGTGTTCCCTTAGCTGAGATTGTTCATCAGCAGGTCCGACAATGCCTAGTTCCAAGGAAGCCCTAGGTCCAGGTTACATAGAAAACTGTTGGAGATTCTGATGAATTCTCTAAACTTCTTGTGCCACTGTGTCTCCGTGGCCACGTAGAGACAATAACAGGGCAGCTGTTCGGGAATAATGTGACTGGGTGTGCTAGCCACGTGACTGCATGTTTCTGGTGCTGTGTGCACAGCTAAGACTCCCATGCATGTTGCTGATCCTTCTGTGGACCAGTTTTCCTCTCCTTTTGCCCCACCACTCTGCAGTCCTGCATTTGATCTGTCTCATCTGCCAGGGATGTCGATGCCAGCTTCACCCAGCTTGAAGCCCCCACCAAACCCCCCTCTGCTTGGCTTTGACTTTGCAACGGGCAAGGCTTTGAGGGAATACATTTTATATAAGCCACTGGCCTCACATCAATTCCTTTTCATTATAATGTAGCTCTAACATGTCTGCACAAAGGCAATGTCTGAACGAAGGAAACCCATTCCTCCCCCATAATAGGAAATGGATGTGGGTCAGATGCAAGTGTTTTACATATTACATAGGTTACATAGGTTGGGGCCGTGCATCAACATAGCAAGTACTTTGGGCCCCTTTCACTGGAGGATGTTCCTAGTGATGGTGGGTTGGGCTGATGGTCTACACATGAAGACATGCTTTATGACACAGGGAGAAATAATCAACCTTATATTTTACCACCCACCAGAAAGTGACTGGAATAGCTTAACATTTTGTAGATAGCGTTTAGTGACTTTTGCCCCCTTGACAATTTTAGCCACTAAAATAAGTGAGATTATTGTACATGTATATAAGATGCTATATAATCTATGTGATGTAGTCTGCTTTGAGGCATTATTCCTCTGAACTTCCATGTTGGAAATGCAGACCCTCTAATTTAGGGTCTGTGGAGAGACTTCAGGTAGGTGTATTGGGTGGATGTAAAAATCACTGGCGTGTCTCACCCCTCTATCAGCCTTCCTGGGCTCTCCGGTACTCAGGAAGCCCTCCTTTTAGATTCTCATCGATGGCAGAGTATGCTTTCCATGCAGAGCCAAAGTGTAAGAGACTGAAGAGTTAATAGCCCTGCTGGGTCAATCAATTCTTTTCTTCTTCCCTCCTTCTCACTCTCTTCCCTTTTTCCAGCTTGTAGCATCCATGAAGGCTGAACAAGACGACCTTTTTGTTGGCTTCCCTCCTTCCCCTGCACCAGCCATGTGCTTCCAACACCCCCTTTTCCTGTCAGTTCCTTCCCCTTGCTATGCAGAACTCTCCCTACACAGGCTCGGGGAAGAGCTGGCGGAGTTTTCATTTTGTAGGACTCCCCCCGGACTTCCCCTCTACTGCTGTCCACATTGAAATCGGAGGCAAAGAAAACTAGAGATCTGAGTTGTGGACTTTGGTTTTAAACTGCTGGCTCTCTTCTGGAGTGGCTTGGCTCTTTTGGGGCCCCTTCCCTTTCCTGTCCTTGCCCAGTCCTCTTACTCCTTGTACTCCTGTCAGGGGAAAAAGTTGGGGATGAAGAGCAGGCGGTAAGATAAGCAATGTCTCAAGGTGGGCCTCTGGGATCCCGGCAATTTTTTTGACAGTGACAAAAATCCTCATCTGGGTTTCAGGGATCTATGTTTTAACTCCACCTCTGATTGCCATGGACATGGGGGTCCCTTGTCCTCCCTGCAGCTGGCACCAAGGGGTAGTAATATTCTGACCTTCCTGGTCTGACACAATGCCCCTCTCCCAGCCTCTCTTCAGCCATTACCACACGTGACCAATGAGCCTCACTGCAGAAGGATGGGCCTTCCCCCGCTTCTGGTTTTCATGACTGTACTTTCTTGCACCAAAGTACTGGGCTCTCTATTAAGAGCTGGGGCAAGGGGGCTCCTATCAACGCTTTCACACAGCCACGGGAGTCCTGGATATGTGGTCCTCACAGCTGCGGAATCTCTCGAGGACTCGGTGTTCTCACCCATAACATGGACATGGAGATGTCGCGGCATTAGATGGATTTATAGATAAAACACAAAAAGGTGGTCAAGTCTAACTGCCAGAGCCTGGGATCTGGGAAAGCCAGAGTGGATGTGCTTTTCATCATAGTATTATTTTGCGTCACCACCTCCCTTCTGTCACTTCAGAGAAAAGGAGCTCACCAGCTGCCCCTGGCTTGAACCCCCCCCCACTTCCCCACCAGAAAAGAAACTCCCAAGTAGAAGACCCCCAGCCTCAGTGCACACACACATATGTCAGCATGAACCGTGACATTGACTCCAGGGTGTCACTAGTGCAAATAGATCTGCTGCTACTAGCATTGGCCGTAGCTGAGGCGATACCAGTTTGATGAGTGTAAAAATCAGAAAGACCGGGACAAGGGGCCCATGTGTTCTTCAGGCATGCCACTCCACTGCTCTGACCCTATTCTTGTCTGTCTAGCTGGACTAGTAACGTCCTTCACAGGGGAGTTGCATGTTCATAGCACGGTCGTGAGGTCTGCATGAGCTGTGCAGCTGGGCTATGCTGCTGTGCCCATATCGTATGTGACACAGGTAGGTTCCTTCCACCCCGTGTTTCCTAGCCTTGTTTCCACACTGGGAGCCTTTGTCTAGCTCCACAGCAATGTGAGCATAGGAAAGTCTTAATACCAATTCTCCTCTGCTTCCTGTCCCCAAAACCTCCAGCCTTAGGCTTCAACCGTGCAAGGGAGAGGCAGGACAACTCACAAGGAAGAGTCACACACTTTTGAACAGCTTTTCTTCCTTCTTTCTTTTCTTTTTTTTTTTTTTTAATTAAAAAGAAATAAAACGAAACAACAGTTTTTCAGGGGTTGCTGTGATAAGACATTACATATAAAGTAAGTCTCGAAACAAGAAAGAGCAGGGCCAGAGGCTGTGTTCCTGGCTGCTCTGCCCTCTGAGGGCAGGCAGAGGACCCCTCCCTTGAGGCCATTGTTTCCCCAGACAGGTATCCACCTCTCCAGGGCTATAAAAAAAGGACATGCTTATTCTGCTTATTTGGCCTTGTTTCTCTTGGAAGCCTGAGCCACATCTTGTTCACTGGTCCATGACACACACACACAGGAAGCTAGGGTTTATGAGAGTTTGTGGGTGAACAGTGCAGGGTGGGGGCTTAGGGGTGCATATCACTCTCTCACCTCTGACTCTGCTCAAGGAGGCTAGCAAAGTATTGCACCTGCTAGAGATACTGTCCCACAGGGGTACTTGGGCCGGGCATCCAGTTAGCTCCCCCTCTTGAGTGGTGTCTAAAGGAATGCCTATAGGTAAGCTGGGGCAAGAAGAAAAGGGAGGGGTGGGGATGAGTCATGCCCATGCTGGCGCTGAATGCTGATGGGGAACCAGAAGGCAGGGGGGAAGTGTGCATGCATTTGCCATAACCAGCTTCTTACGTGTGGACCCTCTCAACCAGTCTATCCATCCCTGCTTCCTCTGATCCAGTCCTTGAGGGTAACCCAACCCCGGCTTTGACGTCTTTCACTGCCACTTTCATGACCCTGGAAAAACTGACAACTTTCTCGGGCCTTAATGCCATGAACTGTCAAATGGGGAAGTTCGTGTGGACTTCGAAGGATGGCTATACATAATGTAACCATGTCATTAAAAAGCCCATGAAAGGACCCAGCACATAGTAAGTGCTCAATAAATGGCCACATTGCCCATCGTGTGCTGTTGCTGGCATGTCCACAGCAGTTATTGAATCTGTGTAGATTCAGATGTGAGAATCAGAAGATAGAACGGTGTTCTGGAAAGAACACAGATTCTTTCAAGCTTCCTGTGCTATCTGGAAAGTTCAAATGTCACAGACCTTGGGGTAATGGAGGGTCTGGTCTGAAGGACTTCCATTGCTTTCCCTCAGACAGCTCTGTGGGCCAGAAGCTGTTGGGTCCCTAGACTTCAGTGCCTTCCCTGGGGAAGAGGACATTGTTGGTGTTAATGCTATTGTAGAAATGTGGGCTGAACTGGTTGAGGACAGAGCTTCCATAGCCCAGAGCATTGGTGGGTACTGGGTTGGCCCATTCACCCCCACTCCCGTGGCTACTGAGGTTGGTGAGGGGGGTATAGGAGTTGAAACCTAGTGAGTTCTGCCCCATCTTGTCAGTAGGCTCTGGGCTCAGTCCTGGTGTGGCCACTGAGCGGCTCATGGGGTTTGTCCCACTCACGTAGGCTGTCATGGTAGAGAGGAAGTTGTTGAGGCACGGGGTGCCTGAGGGGGCAGGGGAGGATCGCTTCTCTGGGGAGCTGGTGGTGGTATCAGGGGGCGAGGCAGTCTCTAAGATGTCCTGAGGCTCTGTGGGCTTGGGGCTGCCTGCCAGGAGACTGTTCTCTGTTTTCTCTGAAGTTAAAGAGCCCGTGCTGGAAGACGAATCTGATTTTCTCTTTCTCTTCCTGCGGAAGTTTCCATTGTCAAACATCTTCTCACAGTTGGGGTCCAGAGTCCAGTAATTCCCTTTGCCTGATACAGAAGTAGGAGAAGTTAAGAATACAGATGGACATAAGGCCTCATTCATCTGCAATGACATGCACTGAAATCAAAGGCAAAAAAAAAAAAAAAAAAAGCAAAGAAAAGAACAAAGCCTGGGGCAGAAATGAAGAAATCCCACCAACATCTGCCCACCCACTCCCACCTCTGCTTAAGCCTCCCTTCTGCACACACACACACACACGCGGCTCTGGGCAGTGCATGAAAATGAAGCATAAGGCCCAAAGGAGTTTACGGGGTAGCCGTTAAGGTGAAGTATAGGGGTGAAGGGGTGCAGGTTAGTACTGGTACTGGCGTCAGAACTTTTATTGCTCATGTTCAGGGAAAGCCAGGAACTTTCTGGATTCCTGAGTCTTGAAGATGGACTTGAGCCCTGGTTTTGCTCCTTCAGTGACTAAGAACTTCAGATAAATCTCAGTTTCCTGGTCTGAACAATCCCTGTTTCCCTCAGACTCGCTAATGGAAAGGATAAACCCTCTATGTGTCACAACTGAGGTGTACAACTGAGGTGTCACCACAAGCGATGCCCTAATTCTTCCCTGCTACTCTGGGAAGTGGATGAAGACCTTGCATGGGCCAGTCTCTCTTCTGAGGAACAAATAGATCTGACCAAAGCTGACTTCAGAGGGGGCAAAGGTGGCATTCTGAGCCATATCCTGGCTTCCTGTGTGAGAACAAAACTACACTTCAATTCTGGAAACTGGATTCAAGATATTTCACATCCCTCTCTGCAAGCGTCTGTGGCTCATCATTTAGTCTCAGTGTTTAAGTTGTGTTTAAGTCAAGAGCCATCATGGCCACTCCAATCTATGTCACTTTGGGAAGGCATCTTCACCCCTGGATGCTATTCTCCTCCTCTATGCAATGGGTTCGCTAAGAGATCCCCTTCAGGGTGCTGCCAGGATTAAAGGAGGTCCTGTAAGGAGGAGTGGGCATGCAGAGCCATCCCATGGGGGCATCAATGGCGTCCAACCAAGGCCGAGTCTTCTCCACTACACGTGTGGCTTGGACACACTTGGGCTTGGCTTGGTTTAGTTCTACCAAGGACTTAATGTATTGCTGGGCACCGAGGCACATGTGAATCATAATGACTGCACCAAATACTGCAGGAGTTATTTCGTTACAGAACAGACATCCTCTCCATCCCTGTTACTTTTCAAATAAGGAAACTGAGGCGCAGCAACCGCAACCTCACCGAGACCACAGAAGCCGGAATCTGCTTCGCAGGGCCCACATCCTCCTTCACTGAACAGTTCCTTTCAGCCCTGTTGACTAGCCGCTCCCAATTTTGTGCATAGAGTAGCAGCTGTAGTCAGAACTTTCTAGAACAGAGTTCAGAGCAGAAAGGAAACGAGCCCTCGGGGATACCTGCAGCCTTCCGGGGAGTGGTCTCCTACTCCGTGTGCACTGCTGTCTTACCTGGGTCGTCCTCATCTCGGGGCACCTTCTTGAAGCAGTCGTTGAGCGACAGGTTGTGGCGGATGGAGTTCTGCCAGCCAGCCTTGCTCTTGTTGTAAAAGGGGAAGTTGTCAGCCACGTACTGGTAGATCTGGCTCAGCGTGAGGCGCTGGTCAGGCGCCCCATGGATGGCCATGGCAATGAGGGCTGAGTAGGAGTATGGTGGGCGCACCAGCTTCATGAGCTCCTCCTGAGAGGGGATGGGCAGCCAGCCTAGGTCGCTGGGCAGTAGCTGCCTCTGCATGCCATAGGCCTGGGGCAGGAAGGGGCTGGCGTTAGTGCCGGGCAGGTAGGGTGGTGGGGTCATGGCTGGCCCGTTGAGCCAGAGGTAGGGGTTGGGGGTGGCCCCATACTCGCCGCTGCCCTCGAAGGAGGAGGGCCGTTGAGGACTGGGCATGCCCTGGGGGTGGAAGAAGTTCTCATAGTAAAGGTTCATCTCGGGGGGCTCCTGGCCGATGCTGGGGAACTGGGGGCTGCATCGAGGTGGCGAGGGCGCTGGCAGGTCAAACGAGCTCATGCCGAGGCTGGGTTCGGGTAGTCCCCTGCTGCACCTGTGCTCTCTGGAGCTGCCCCTGACAGGTGTTCCGCAGGCCCTGGCCTCCTGTGACTTATACCCCGAGGGCTTGGGGCTGGGTGGCCCCACCCAGGGGCGGCCACCTGCCAGCAGATCCTGGGCCAGGACCCGCCTCCCTCTTTTCCTAGCTGGCTGTGGCCTTGGTTCCCAGTAATGACATGCTAAAGCAGACTTATTAGAGCCGGTACCCCTCATGACAAGGGCTCCCTTCATCGCTTCCCCCTGCTTAACTTTCTCATCATCCCATCTTTCCTTCCCCTTTCATTTTCCTTCCCTCCTCACTTTCCTTCTCTTTCTCCCTGCCACCTCTCTTCTCCACAGCTTATTCTGTGTTTCTTTGTTCCTCGCAACTTTCCTCCCCTTCTCTGCCTCTCGCTCCCTCTTGCCTTCGGCTTCCCCATCACCACCGCTAGGTTCTCCCTCGACCCCTGTTCCTCATTCTCTGATGACTACCCCACCCCATTCCACTCCACCCTTGTCTATCACCAGCTCCTGCTTTGGTCTTTGGTAGGGAAGATGCATTTTCTAGAGTTGCCAGGAGACCCCATAGTCTCTGGAGAGTCAGAGAGCAGCTTGGCCTCTGGAGAGGATTCACGTGGTCCCCTTCTGCTCCTAACACACACACACACACACACACACACACACACACACACACACACACA